AAAATTCTAAACTAGAAAGTCAGCCAATCATAATCATTTTCGCCTTGTGTCTGCGGCTGCGACTCCGGCTGCTGTTGCACATTTGTGGATTGGACTTGCTCCTGCTGTTCCTGTTGCTCCTGTTCGGGTCGATAGCTCGACTGCTGTGGCTGGTAGTCAGCGGCGGGCTGGGCGGACTCATGGGAGGCATCCATTAAATATATTTCATTCGAGACTTGATCAGGCTGTTCAGCTTGTTGTTCAGCCATGTCGGTATCGTCTAGAAGCTCCTTTTTAATGCGCATGCCGTCGTTGTCCTCATCGTCACTGTCTGATATATCGAGATCGTCATCGATGCCCATGGCATTGTTGGTGTCCGCTGCCGCAGGCGACTCGTCCTCCTGCTGGGCAGCTGCCGCTGAGCTAGTGCTCGCTTCCGGCGGATTGTACTGGCCATTGTCATCTTGGGCCATGAAGTCAGAGAACGCGCTGGCTGCAGTATAGTTTTCGCCATAGTTCTGGCGTGGCTTGTGCATGGCCAGAAAGTCGGATGGATCGTAGTTCGGATCCACATCCATGGATTCATCTGCAAAAGGTGAAAGAAGCCAGTTAGTTATGAGCTGAAATGCTTTTCCAGGTGCCGGGACAGTGACAAACTAAGACTATCATTATTTATATTTTAACAATACAGGGTTTGAGTATGGGTCAAGAGTATTTGGGTGAGTAATATATGAACCTTGCTGCTGTTGAGCGTAGTAGCCAACGCCACTCAACTGCACCATAGCTTCAGCCGCTTGCTGGCTGCCGTCCTCGCCGCATTGCTCCTCTATTATTAAACCGAGGGTACGAAACACGAGAAAGTGGTAGAAAAACAGAATCCAAAAGCACGCAAAAGAAAACACATTTAGATTGAGAGTCAAAATTACGTCAAATCATAGAACAAGTGTAGATTAATATATACTATGTTTGCTTTCATTGTATTCACAGTCTCACAATTACATATAATCAGTTATCTGCGTGTGATTACACACCTGCCATTTGTTGTGCCTCGATGTCGATCTCCGTTTTGATGTTCTTTGGATCGATGTAGTACATCCCATCGTTGGGTGCATGCATGCGCTCGCCTTGGTCCAAAATGTGGGCAGCATTATTCTCATCTTCAGATACCTCTTGGAAGTCCTCCTCGTCGTCCTCGTCATCATCAGTCGAACATTGTAGATCTAATTTGTCGTTGATGATAAATATACAAAACCAACTAATCAATAAAATGCTTTGGAATTAGTCTTTGACATAAAGAAAAGGAACTGAAAGCAACCAAGTTTAAATCAATAAATTATTTAATTAATTATTGGGGTTCACAGAACAATGGCGTGTTTAACAAA